AACGACTTAGTTAGGGCGATCTGTGGAGTAGCTACATACATAATCGAGTTATATATAAATAAGTGCAAGCTCCATAGGTTATCCAAAAATTGTCGGATTTCAAATCGGTGAAGTGGGTGACAATACATACATACATACAAGCGTTTAAACATTTTCTTGAGAAATTTCTCAACGCGCCAATACAATACAGTATTGGCCAATACAATAGCACCCCCATTTCAAAGTCATATTGTTTGCCACTCATGTTTATTTATTTATTTTTAAGAATTTTCAATTAAAATACAGTTCATTCTCTGACAAAACTCACATAAACTTAAGTTTAAAACTTTTTAAAAGTCCGCAAAAAAGTGCAACAAATTTTCACCCAAATTTCAAACTTTTTTCTCAGAAGCGGTAGAATTTTTTTTGAATACGCAGTTTTATAGCCCATTGGATTTTAGTCTAATAATGTGCAGGTTTCAAGTGGCTAAAAATTACCGATGATTTTTTTAATTTTTTATTCGCCGAGGATGTTGCGGGTTTCTGCCATATAAAACTAAATTGTGTTTAGTCGTTATATGGAAGCAAATGAGACAAATAAAATTCTAAAAAATCAACGGTAATCTTTAGCGACTTGAAACTTGCACATTATTGGACTAAAATTGAATGCGCTATAAAACTGTGTACTCAAAAAAATTCTTAGAGCTTCTGAGAAAAAAGTTTGAAATTTAAGGGAAAGTTTGTTGCGCTTTTTTGCGGTCTTTTAAAAAGTTTAAAACATGGGTTTATATGGGTTTTGTTAGAGAATGAACTGTATTTTAATTGAAAATTCTTAAAAACAAATAACTAAACATAAGTGGCAAACAATATCGCTTTGAAAGGCGGGTGCTATAGATATGTCCAATACTGTATATGAGATTTTGGTTATGTGCTTATTTATCTTAGTCGCATTTTTGTGTTTTCTTTTTTGCTTTGTTTCTTGCTGTAAGAATGTTTCACTTTCTTTTTATAGTTAGACCATTAATTGCTCCAATGCGCTTAATTATATTGCACAAACTTGTTTTACTATTATTTTTTACATGTTTTATGTATTATTTTACATACATATTTTATTTTTTATAATATTTTTGAATCGTGATATATTTTAATTAGTATTTTTTATAACAGTATCTTCTAAATAATTGAAATTATGTCGGATAACAATAATACATATGTAGTATAAAGTAGTAACAATAGTGATATAAACTCAAATATTTAAAACAAATATATTTATTGTATATAGTAAATACATATTGTAGTAGTTTTGTTAGAACATAATTGTGGTTATATGTAATAATAAATATAATATATATATTGCATTTAAATAGTGTATTCTTTATATGTAAATAGCAAATTAATAATGAATTTGTAGACCATGTTTTCTTTTAATGAATGTACGAATGTTTTTAGTAGTTCTTAATTATTTCACGCTTTAATATTTATACATATGTAGTTGTATATGGATAACTTTTTCTTAACCATTTAGCACAGAACAATGTTTTTTACGCGCTTATTTTTAATAAACCTTACACCATTCTTGTTATGTGTTCCTTATAAGCCATCGAAAAGACTCGAATGTTAATTTAATCGCACGTGTATCACTTTGTTATTAACATTTCAAATTTTACTAATTTAAATACTACATTTGTTGTATGTTCTTTGCTACATTCATTTTTTGATGGTTAATATGCATATATTGGGGCATATTCTTGTTTTCGTACGAATCGAAAATCATGAAATTTTCCTATCATTTTCTATGCAAAAATTTTAAATTTTTCATTCGTACGAAAACCAGAATACGCCTCATTAATTTTTTTAAGTATTAATTTTTTCTCTATTCTTCAAAATTTCCCACAAGCTAACATTAATATGTAAACTTTTCTTAAACGTGTGAGTAGACTACATATTCGAAAAAAAGATAAAGTATTGAACTGCACCATTTGCTTTCTTCTTTTAGTGCATTTTCTTTAATGTTTTATGTTTTATTTAACAATTTTACAGATGCTTAAGTTTTCTACACAGTATATGTTATTTATGTTTTTAAGAATATAATTAAATAACGTTTAGATTTACGATCTTTATGTATCGCAATAAATGTTGCACTGTATATCTCTATCAACATTTCAATACACTTGCTGCTTTCCCACGCGCCTCCGCTGCTCTGGCTTTAATGAAATTTGCAAAACGTTTGCTTTTTAGCACTTTGCGCGCGCCAACTACTTTTTGTATGTTCTGTATTTTTATAAGCATTTTTTTATACCGATATTATGTATATTATTCGCATTTTTTCAATGATTTGTTATGCAAATTTTGGTTACGCCAATTGCTTTTAACATACTTATGTATATTAAGTACTCATGCATTCTTTTTTTAATTTAATTTTTTTTTCATGCATGCGTCATACGCCGATTTTTACACGCACACAACATCTAATTATTAATTTTCACTTTTTTTTTTATAATTTTCACTTAATTTTTGTTTGTTTGTAGTTTTCAGCTTGAATGCATATAAAATTTGCTTACGCTATAAAAAAATCATCAACGCCATTTTTGCAGCGTTAATAAGTATGAGAAAAAAATTGACAGAATTATGTACGAGCATGTTAATCGTTTTGTTGTCGTGGTTGTTGCTGTTTGCTTTTATGATTCACTTGTTCATTTATTGTTGCTTGGTTTACTGTTGCAAGCTCACTGCTTTTTGCATCTACCTATGTATACATTACTCAAGACGTTGTTGTTCCCTCAATGTTTTAGCGATTGTTATTGTTGATATATAATTATTTC